GCGCGCGTCGCTCTAACCTCTTGATCTGTAGGTGGAGGCGCGGCGCCGTGTGTCAGGCTGTCAATTCGCTGCATATAACGCATTTCCTGTAACATAATACATGACACACATTTCGCAACGATCAGAATCGTGATAAATATTCGCCCGTTAAATTCTATATCAAGGTTCACTCGCGTGGTCTTTTCGAACGCGCGTAATCCGTGACGTCCGTATAGCACACGTCTACCTGACGCAAGACGCTCGGGTGACGCATGGATGACGAGGATGGCCAGCACCTGAGGGGAAGACGTTGCTAATTATATCATCATGACGTTCAGACACAAGCTGTTGCAGGTGCCAGGAGTCGAGGCCCGACAGAAGTGGGATCTGGGAGCTGGCACTGTGATGAGGCAGGCAAGGGGGATTAACGTCGTGTAGAAGTAGGGAGGCTTAAGTACAAGGGCAGAGGAGTGGCGTTAGAACGGTGGGAGGTGGATATGTCTCCTGAGGACGATATGGAATGCTTTGATTTATATTCATTAGTTAGTATATAATGCGGCAGGAAATGTGTCACAGAAATACCCAAGTGTTTAATTAAATTATGAGGTCAGAAGCCCTGATTGTAGCTTCAGTTCTGAGTCTCATCAAAGACGAGGAAAAAAGAGTCTTTCTCTCTCTCTCTCTCTCTCTCTCTCTCTCTCTCTCTCTCTCTCTCTCTCTCTCTCTCTCTCTCTCTCTCTCTCTCTATCTATCTATCTATCTATCTCTATCTCTCTTCAATAACATAGAGAAGTGGGTAGTCCATTCTTTTATTGCCTTAATATTGACCAGGATATACAACAGAGAGGATAAATGAGAAAATGGCGAATAAAGATTGTCACAAAGAAAGAAAGAAAGAAGAGAAAAGGCTAAATGAAATAGATCAAGTTCGGGGAGCAATGATGAATTCCTATACAATTCAGATATAGACTTTTTGGCGGGTGGTGAGCAGGTGCTGGCTAGTCAGGCGATGATTTGGCGTGAGAGCAAAATTCTACTGCACATTCTCTCTCTGTCTCTGTCTCAGTCGGTGTGTGTGTGTGTGTGTGTGTGTGTGTGTGTGTGTGTGTGTGTGTGTGTGTGTGTGTGTGTGTGTGTGTGTGTGTGTGTGTGTGTGTGTGTGTGTGTGTGTTTGTCTGCCTCCCCCCTTCTCTCTCTCTCTCTCTCCCTCCCTCCCTCCCTCCCTCCCTCCCTCCCTCCCTCCCTCCCTCCCTCCTTCCCTCCTTCCCTCCTTCCCTCCCTCCCTCCTTCCCTCCCTCCCTCCTTCCCTGTCTCTCCCTCCTCTTCCTCCCTCCCTCCTCCCTTCCCTTCCCCCTCCTCTTCCTCCTTCTCTCCTTCCTTCCCTCCCTCCTCCTCTTCCTCCCTCCCTCTCCCTCTCCCTCTCCCTCTCTTTCTCTCCCTCTCCCTCTTCTTCCTTCTCCTCCTCCTTACCCCTCCCTCTCTGCCTACTCCCTTTCCCTCCTTTCCTTCCTCTCTCTCTCCCTCCACCCCTTTATCCGCCCTTCCCTTTATATATTTAACTGAACGCAATCCTATTCGAGATTGAGCATAAAACTCCCTTAAGTGCACAGCATAACCACGTAACAATTGAATATGAAAGTGCCGGCTTAACGAAGTAATTGAGGTATCAGGTTTATGCGTCCGGAATATAGGGATGGATCAGCTGATGAATGATCTGTTGAAGTGCTGGTAATTAATTTGCAGCTTGATATGATTCGAGGAGTTGTGATGTTTGGTCATGAAAGTTTCTTTTTTTTTCTTTTGTGTGATTTTCCATTTTTTTCTCTCTCTCTTTATTTTTTCTTTTTTTCTTTTTTTTAAGATTTGATTTTACGGTGATAAAATCCTATAAATAAAAAGTATTTACGGTGATTGCGTTTTTTTTTTTAAGAAATGGAGGGCAATATTTTTACAAGAGGATGGTTATTGGATGTAATTATTGGTGATTAGGAGGATGGCGATAATTATGTTAATGACAGTGGTAATAATGATGATGATAAGTAATGGTTATAATAACCAAATAATTCTATAGAGGTAGAAGAAACGACCGTTCTCTCTCTCTCTCTCTCTCTCTCTCTCTCTCTCTCTCTCTCTCTCTCTCTCTCTCTCTCTCTCTCTCTCTCTCTCTCTCTCTCCTTCCCCTCTCCCTCTCCCTCTCTCCTTCCCCCTCCCTCACCTTGTGCTCTGTAGACCCAGTTTCCGGCCATCCCCGCCCGTCACGCCATGTCTCTCCTGCGGAATGGGACCGACTTCACTCTCCTGCCTTTGGCTTGCGCTCGACCTCGGGTATTTTGCGCCCGTGATGACCTGACTTCTTCCCTTGTCTTATCGTGGTGCCAATGCGGTCCCGGGAGAGGGGTTGGGGAGGGGTTGGGAGTGGAGAGTGGGAGGGAGGGAGGGAGGGAGGGAGGGAGGATCATCTGGGCGTTTTTTTCATTCGCTGCTGTGAAATAGAATTGATTTCGGGGAGTAGTATTATACGATTGTCTGCTGAAACTTACAAACACAACCACACTGCGCCAGTAGATTTACGAATCGCACGCGCGCGCGCGAAATCACACACACACACACACACACACAATATATATATATATATATATATATATATATATATATATATATATATATATATATATGTATGTGTATATATATATATATATAAATATATATATATATATATATATATATATATATATATATATATATATATGTATATATATACATATACATGTATGTATATATATATATATATATATATATATATATATATATATATATAATACACACACACACACACACACACACACACACACACAAATTCACATTCACTCACACATCTACCCACGCTCATATAGTCACTCTTATACTCACTCACACTTACCTTCGCTCTTCCACCCAAACCCCTTACCCCCAACCTCGCCCTTCCACATACACAACACGCACCCTTAAACCCTTACACACACACACACACACACACACACACACACACACACACACACACACACACACACACACACACACACACACACACACACACACAACACACACACACACACACACACACACACACACACACACACACACACATTCGAACGCCGGTTCACATCAGACGCGTCTCGATCCCGCCACATGAAGCTTTCGACACCCCGCGGTTCGCAAACTCTGCACTCAATGCTACACAACACTCACGCTAGCGGTTGTCAAAGAGTGAAAGTAGGGCGAAGTATTCACTCGATTCCCCCCCAGACAGACCTTCGAGACAGACAGGCCATAATAAACATGAATTAGTTAGTGTTTTGAGATACGTTGGTAGGGGTTCTTTTTCCTTGAGAGATGGGGTGTGAGGTTAGGTCGATTTTTGTTCAACGTGTTCGGATATGTGTGTCTTGAGATGTTTCAGAAGATGGGTGGGGATGGGGGAGGGGATCGGGGGGGGGGAGGGTATAAGGGAATTATGTGCTAATCTCCATGCTGGCGGTGATGTGGATAGATGGTGTTGGTGATGTAATTGGTGCAATGGTTTTGATAATGTTGTTGGTTGTGGTGGTGGAGGTGGTGGTGATGATGATGATGATGATAATGACGATGACGACGATAATGATGATGACGATGATGAGAATAGTAATACCAAGAATAATGATTATAGGAATGATAAGATGATAGTCACGCCAATGTAAGACAAAAGAATGCTGTTGTAAATAAGTAATGATAATGATGTTAAAAATAACAATAATAGTTAGTATGTTAATATGTCATCATCGGCATGGTAATGATGACAACACAGGAAATTCCACGGACGAGTTTCACATAAACAGTGGATTATTCCTAAGTGGAATTATCCACTGCCATAAAGGAGTGCTCTCTTATGATACGAAGGATAATGATAATCATGATGACATAACGGCAGTATGAATAATTAATAAACACAGTTATTCTGATTACTCGCTTGTGAAACTACTAATTTTATCAGTATTACAGTATGTGTGTATGACGAGCGCCTTCACTTTCACAATCGCAATGAGCAAGACTCGTGTTGAATATGTATTCTAACACTGCAATAATACTTGATTTTTATTTTTTATTTTTTTATATCATTATATATTTCTGTATATGAACATTAATATTTTGGTTAATAATGCTGAAATGTTTTTTTATCATAATTATTTTATCAGCGTTTTTTTTTTCATATTCACAGTAACTGTGTCAGTCTATTCGAAATGTTGCATCTTATATTTTAGAAATATGTTTTTTTTCTGATATACCATTGCGACCATGAAACTATTCAGAAATCACTACAAAATACTAACATGTTTTGTTTTGGGTATGTTGAAGCACTACTAGTAAAATAGGTTATCGGAAGCGTTACTAACTAGATCGTTATATATGGCTTGTTTTCTTTAAAATACTGATAATTCTTAGCTTTGATTTGATTTCTACGCAAATGCGAGGCCGTGTTTTTATTCGTAAACTTTCTAATTTCTATATATGGCTAACGTAGTGATAAGAAGATAGTGAACCGTGCCGGCTACTATTCTTAGTCTACCAACTGTATGGTTGACGCTAACGAGGAATTATATCACGTCGATGCAGGTGAATTCAAGCATTTATTTGCAATATATAATAAGAGCAGAAGAATAGATTCTAACGTCAATATCATGAGTGATGAGAGCCAAGGTTACCCAGCTACAATTCGAGATCGATACTCGGCTGAAGACTTCTCGGTAAGGTTGGTATTTCGGTCGAGTTGCCTTGCGAAAAAATTCTTTTCTCTAATTTCCGGCAACAATTACGTAAAGTTACATTCATTTTAAATACCGGTCACTCTGGAAATATTTTTTACATTCCAATGAGCATCTTATTGTTTGTGTATATGTCCATAATTGAGAGTAATGCCTAAATAGTAGATTCGTAGGGGGCGTCGGCATCTGCATGAGTGACGTATTGATGACGTCAGCGCGGGGCCGCCGATGCGCCGACTCGCGCCGCCCGGACTTGTCGTGAAGCGCGCGTCGTCGAGATCGGACGTGCCGCTGTGCCCTTTAGTGTCGACCAACAAACACTTCACAGACGGTGAAGAATGTGCTTGTAGCGAAAACCTACACAGGTCCTAGAGGGCAACATTAAGGGAGTGAACGAGTGTACAAAGTGAAGCCTAGTGGCTTGTACATAAGTGTGTATATACAGTGATTGTTGGTGCTGGTTTGAGAGCCAGCGCGTCGCCGTTGTTCGTGGATACTGTGTATCCTCTGCTGCCGTCCTCCTGCTGAGCGCCCAGTGCCGCCTCTTCAGCAGCCATGGCCGATGTAAGTAGGGGCCGCCCGCCCCCGCCCGCGCCTTGCTGCTCGCGGGCGCGGGCGTAGTTTCTCGGGCTGGGTGGGTTGTCCGAGCATTTTCCTCTCCGCCATGTAGGCCTACGGCTAGTTCCCAAAGTGGGCGCAGTAAAGTCAGGAGCGGCTTGTGGGTGGCGGTGAAGGCACGCATTGATCTGTGCGGTGCGGGCGCGACCCGTCCAGGGAATCAATACCCGGCAGAGGGACGGGGGCGCTGCCCACTCCACCTGCAACTCGCTACCTGCAATATTGTCACAATGCCCACTAAAGTATCCTGTCCAAGAGGTTGGCTAAGTTGTGTTACGAAAACCCCAATAAATGGGTCTTCGGACGCAAGCCGCAGCCAAAGTACTAACCACAGTAAAGAGTATCTAAGCACCTTAGGGAAGCGTAAAAAAACATAAGAAAACACCTATATAGCGGAGTATGAGTAATCCCAGTAATTTCCTGTCTTGTCTGCTTCTCAAGAGGACTACCGGTAGGCCAGGGGAGGCGGTTATAAATAGTTCAGTTGGTAACATATCAGAGGCAAAAGGCTCAGGGCGGTAAGGCTTAGAATAGCCCCGTGTTGGAGGGGAGAGACCTGAGGGGTCCAATTAAGACAGGTCGGAGAGGGGAAAGCCAGCGATTATGTTACGCCCAAATATTATGCGCTTTCGAGGAGAGCACAGCCGGCGTCATTTGGCAGAGGATGTCCCTTGACATGGCATGAAATGTTCATCTTGAAATGCCAGCTAGAATTCGCTCGGGAATGGCAGCTGTATGTAATTATGTCCATGTAAGTGCTCTTCGTCAGCACGAATTTCTATCATAAAAAAATAAAAAAAAACTTTCCTAACTATAGTTTGTGACTTAGCAACACTAAAATCGTAACTTGAAAAACTCCGTGAATGTTAATATTGTCCAAAATATAAATGTCATATCTAAAAATAATAATAATAATAAAAAAAAATCAGCGGAGGGATTTATATCTTAACTATTATACAGGCCATTTTCTTCTTATATCACTAATATTCCCAAAACTTGCTACAGGACACAAGTACCGAGTCCACGGTTCAGCAGCTGACCTCCCTCAGTCCCTGCACCGTAAATGTTTCCTAGTATCAATTTCACAAGATAACAGAAATCCACACAGTTTCATTGACGAATTCCGATCTCTCAGACGATGGATTTTTTTCTCTGGCGTTAGAGAGAGCCGGTGCGGGTTTGTAAGTAGGATAAAAAAGGAATCGAGCATTTGTTACGAGATCTCAGATTTTTCACCCGCTTCACTATATAAGGGCAGCAAACAAGTCCATTAAGTGCCAGCTCCTTAATTCAGGGAAAGCCAGACTCGGCTTTATACGGTTTTTAAGTATATTTATCTATATATGTACTATATATGTATACATTCAACCATTAATTATTTAATTTATTATTTGTCATCACGTATAAGAGGTATATGATTTTACATCATTGCATACGCTCCATTGCGACCAATGTTTTCCAAAATCCATACTTTAGAGTAAATTGGTCAGGAAATACAGTCTTCCCTATTTTTTGCACATATGATATAATCACCGTTGTGAACACCGCAGTAGTGCATTATGATATATATATATATATATATATATATATATATATATATATATATATATAATTTGGTTTTGTCGGCATCTGACAAATCTCTAATATGCTTCCAATGAATTTATTGATTCTTGTTAAAATTCTCAGAGAACCTCTCACCATACTACTAACGAAAGTGGTGATCGACTGCCTCGGAGCAAACTGTATCCCTTATTCCATTCGTAGAAAAGGCCATACTATTGAGATATTCCTTTAGCCATTCTGACGGCTTGGAGGACTGCCCTCTGGTCTTATACAATGATAGGTAGGATAATATCATTTAAAGAGAATTAAATGTCTTGTAAATGGATGACAGTATTTTTGGCTCTTATTTTGTTTTCACATTCTACTAGAGACAATATAGGCTTGTTTTGACAGCCAACAGCTGTTCCTACAAGAATAAGAGTATCCTAAATCAACCGGCGGAAATCCAAGATGGCGGCTTTGATGCCAACTGATAACAGGCGTGAAAGTCGGCCGCATCCCTTACTATAGTATTCAGATATTATGTATGCATAGTTTTGTTAAAGAATCAAAGGATAACCCAAATCTGTCTGCTCAATATGTATAAAGTTTTGTAGGGATGTATCGATAGAACCGGCTTCCCACGGCCCTTTACAACTGTACGCAGACGCTCAACTATTGATTGGAGTTGACGGTGTTGCCGGGTGTCGCTGGATTCCCAACTCCCTGGGAAGTTGACAGGTAATGTTCTCCAAAGTTTCTCACTTGTTCCCATCATTTTCCTCACCATAAGCAAATGAAGCCCGCCACATTTGTTTCGAAATGGAAAGCTTGAGAGAGACAAAACTTCAGATGGAAATACAGATGGTGGCGTAGATGGGGGGAGGAGGGGGAGGCGGCCCCAGAGGAGCTGACACTGTTGAACGAGCCGGACTGGACTGGTGTTCAGGTGCTGGGATGGTGCATTGCAGAGGTGGGCTACTCACTGCCGCCCACCCGATAGCAATTGCACAACCAATGGCCACTTCTATTTGCTTCTACATTTCACCCCCATTAAATGGCACTTTCGAAGCTGTTGGGATAAATAGGCGAAGAACACCAATAAATCCTAAAATTCAACTTCTGATAAGAGATCTGCGCCTCCTTGGTACCCGGCATCCAGCGACATCAGCATGCCGGCTTCAGTCAATTATGGTTTTGAGCTGAAGTATCCCTGACCTCAAACTTCAACATTATAACACTACAGCTTACAACGTTTACTTAGCCCATGCCGAGTACGAAACTTTTTAGGAAATTGCTTCCAAATTTGGATTGATGAGCTAGGAGGGAACTCTGCTAACCGGTTCAAAAGCCGGCGTCCCGGCTCCGCACCCAATCTTCATACCCGTCACCTGTACCTTGGTCATTACTTCAACAGGAATCCAAATGCCATAGTTGGTAAATCGAAGTAAATGTAAATATACAGATATACATTATATTATGTATATATTGTGCCATTACGAAATAACGTCTTCATACCTCTAGTGTGTAGTAATCTGTGCCCTAAAAGAAGCAGCCGGTCCCTCGACAGCTCAGAAGCCCCATTCTGCTCGCAGGAAGCCATACGCACCTATTACATTCTAGGTCCTAACGCCTGATTTTTTTTTCTTTCGTTCTTGCTTGTCTAGTTTTAACCTTGGACTGTTTACAAAGGACGACCGGTTGTCGTTATACTTAGGTATTTCAACCTGATTAGCTGTGTTAGATGGCTTAGGAAATACAGCTAGTACCAGTAACGATTGTCTCAATGTGTGGAGCAACCAGTTTTTTTTTTCTTTCTTTTTTTTCTTAATCCTTACGTAATCATTACAGTCCGTACGGTGGTTGCCAACCGCTCTTCCTCCTCCCGTTCGTCGAGCCTTCGCTTCCTGTGTCATTTTCTGTTTATTTTTCGAGGGTAGCGTATGGTTGGTACAGACTGAAATTGCATATGGCTGATAGTGCCGTGCGGAGCAATCGAAAACGAAAACGAAAATAATAATGCTGTATTGGTTAACAGGAAAATGTTTTGATAAGGAGACTGGCTGCCAGGTGCACCCACCGGCTTAGACGTTAGTGTTGATTTCCATTTAGCAGAATAAAGCATTATTGCATAATAAATGTGTAAAAATGACGTTTAAT